CCATCGTCTCTTTTCTTTATTTTTGGTTTATTGTTTTACTTTAAAGTCTCTTTTAGTTTTCTTTCTTATCTTATTCTCTTCTTGTTTACAAACACATTCCTTAACCCTCTTACATGTTAAGTCAAGTAGTATAGCTTTACTAAGACTCTGTATTGCTATATTACAATATTATGTGATTAAAATAAAATACAGATAATAAACTGGTTACAAATTATGCAAGATAATCAAAACAGGTATGTTAGTAGAAATTTTATCAACCAAACTATGACTTATATAGCAATAGCGTCGAAAAGAAAAAATGGTACATAGCCAGATTTTTTGTTGGCTTACATATAACTTCGAAAACTGATTGTTGGTAAAACTTATATTTATCAGTTTAATCATTTTTGTTTTTAACCTTTGTTTTTGTTTTTGACCTTTGTTTTTATTTTTGACCTTTCAGTTAGCCTTCGCTTTGATTTTCATTTTGACTTTTACTTTGATCTTCACTTTTACGACTTTTCACTTTAACTCTCGTTTTGATTCTTAATTTTAATTTTTGGGTTGACTTCTTTTGTTTTAACTTTTGCTTTAACTTACATTTTTGCTTTCACTATGGCTTTTGCTTTGACTTTTGGTTTGATTTTTGTTTTGACTTTGACCTTCTCTTTGACTTTCATTTTGACTTTCACTTTTACTTTGAGAATTTTTGCCATATTGAATTCACGAAAATATAACTTGAACCAAATATGATAGTTATATTGCTAAAATTAAATATAAATATTCAGTGCCTTATATTAATTCGTGTTAATTTGGCTAATTAATTAAATAAATGATTCAAGCTTGTGAACATTTATTTAATTAGTTGAGTTAGTTGAGTATACACTTGTTTGTATTAATTTAGTTGATAAGTATAAAGTTTCTTTATAAATAAGTATATCTACATAGTAATGTTCATATATTTTTGTTTAATTCTATTGTTAAGTAGTGACACAGGTCTAGCTCCAACATTGTAGACAATAATTTCAAGTCAATACAGTCTTGAATCAATGATCAGCTTAGACGAAAAAGGCGTTTAGATTTGGCAGGTTGGGTTGGTTCTTCCAGATAAGTATTCTTCGGATGAGTCTATTCTTGCTTTCTTTTACTTGACACTTTGCTAACTAAAATTTTATTTTCTCCTCTATATCACGACCAATTCGGAATATTAATGGCTGAAACAATCGTTTGAGCTAATCTACTCTTTACAACTACAGCTTTATCACTATACATTAGGGTGTGTAATAGCCTATAGACAGGGTCACTAATGATCACTAATTGCAGATTTTTTATTGGGATCAATGCACACATATCAAAACAAAAATTAGATTTATTGAAATAAATCATTAACTAAATAGAATACTATTTTTTTAAAAATTGAGCCTCAAGACTAGCTCTACACTGAATAGAGTTATTTTTTAAAAAATATTTAGAATGTTAATGATTAGTGTTTTTGGTTTTGATTATTAATATTTTTTTAATTTTTTTTAAAAAAATAGCTCTATTTCAGTATAAAGCTAGTTTAGAGCTTTAATTTTTAAAAAAATTGCATATTGTTTGATTAATTATTTATTTCAATAAATGTAATTTTATTTTAGCAAATTTTATAGCAATAATCATATTAATATAGGTTCAATTTACAAGATCAATTACATTTAGGCCTTCCAACATAATAAATTACCGAATCCCAATACCCAGAATCCTAGTGTCCAAATCTGAAAGCAATTATTGATACTATCAGGATGTTATTTTTGGGATTTTTAGCATTGGGATTTTAAGCACTGGGATTCTGAGATAAAATCAAAATTATCATTAGAAAATCCGCAATTAAGAATGATCATTAGTAACCCTGACTATATGATTTTAATAGGCTGTTGCACACCCTAACTATACATTGGATCTAAACTGAAGAACAATAATCGACGTTGAAGTTACATGTTCAAGATGTAATAGTTTACTTCTACTTATACGTAGTAACAGGATAGGCAGTGTGAAAGTTTATTTTATTATAATAGTGTAAGATAGTTTATAGTTATTTGTATAGAGTCGATTATAGTATTTTTAGAATAGTTTTAGCAAAAATTTAAACTTTATTATGGGTGAAGAGTCTGAATATATATGTATATCTTTATGTACATAAGTACAAATTTATTTAATAAAATTATATTACTTCATTTATCTGGTTTCTTTTATTTATTTTACTATCCCTATATTTAAGTGATTTTAACTTAGATGAAAAAAAAATTCTTTTATTTAATATTTATTTTTTTGTTTAAATATAATATAAAAAAGACAAATACTATATTACAAAAATATTATTATTATTATTATTATTATTAAATTATATTTAAATTATTTATTAAAATTTTAAAATATAATAATTATTTTTACAATAGATATAATTATTAAAAATATATTAAATTGTTATATTAATTATAATTTTAAAATAAAAATTTATATAAAAATATATTAATTTAAAATAATTTATTAAATTTATTATAATTGTTTAATAAATTCTATTGCATCTTGAAGATCTTTATCTATATTATCATTATTAATAATATCATTATTGTTATCATTATCATCATTATTACTATTATTATTATTATTATAATTATTATCTAATTCAAATTCTAAATCTTCATTATCTATATCATCTTTAGTTAATTTATCATTATCATTTTTTCTAATCTTTTTAAAAATGATTTAATATTTGAAAATATTCCTTTTTTATAATATTGTAAACAATGATTACATGTTAAATATATTGCTTGATAGCAATTTGTATGATAAGCATATCCACAAATATATACTTTTCCATTTAAATTATTAAATGATTTGTTACATTTATCACATATATTTTTTGATGGTTGATGTGATGTAAGATAACCTGTTAGAAGACATTTAATATTTATATTTTCATTTAATCTAGCAATAAAATATTCAGATTGATTTGATATTTTTTTACTCTTATTAAGGTTAAGATAAACTTTTTAAAAATGTTTTATCAAAAATAAACTACTTTTTTTTGTTAAATAATCTAATCGTTTAGAATTATATAGATAAGATTTTGTTGATTTAAAAATATCAAGTTGAAATCCATCTCGATAATAATCTAAAATATATGCTTGTTGTTTAATTTCTTTAATAGTACTATGTGAATTAATATTTGCATGAAAATGACTATGCATATTTTCTATAAAATAGTCATTAAAATTTACTAAAGAATTAGATAATACTTTAGCAAATGGATGATTTATTTCTTTCTAATAAAAATAATCTAAAAGAAATACTAATGGAGCTTTGTTGTAATTTTTTCTTTTCTATTTTAATGCAAATGTCCATAATCTAAATATAGTTTCAATATATTAATCAAATGAGCCTGATCTAAAAAGTATAGCATAAATATCTAATGTTGAAGGTATTAAATTGTCTAAAATATCTAAAAGCATTTAATATTCTATATCTTTACATGTACTATCAAATTTAGCTAAAATAATATATGATATAGCTTTCAAACTTTCATTAACTAATTCTAAAATTAAATTAATTCTCCATGGTCTTGGTTTTTTGGCTATTTTTTTTTATCACCAAAAACAAAATGAAAAAATTGTTTAAAAAAAGAATAATAAACAAGAAATACTTGTTCACAGAAATTTAAAGAAACATGAAGTGGATCTAAAATTAGAATAAAATTTTTAACATTATTTGGAATTAAATTTTGAGATGAATTTAATTGTAATCTATATTGTGTAATTATTTTTCTAATAAATAATTGTCCAGACCAATTTGCAATAATTAGAATAATATTATTTTCTAAATATTGTGATAATAAATTAATATCTATAATCATTTTAAGAGCCTTTAAATAATCATTCATTGAATGTAAATTTAACTTTTTAACTTTAACTACTCTTATATTCTTCATTGATCTTTCTTCTTTACATTCTTTAATTGCATTATCATAAATATGTAATATTAATAAATCTATACGATTTTGAGAATTGATTTGAAAATTATTTTAAGTAATCCATTCAATTTTACATTCATTATAACTTTTATCAAAATATCTATTATATTTAGAAGTTAAATTAATTATAATTTTATTTGGTTCAATATTTTCTAGATTAAAAAATGAATTTCCATTTGAAATAGCTAATACTGATGATTGATTTTTAATTAATTTAGTTACACATGTTGCTAAGTGATTTGCAGTTGAAAGTGTTGTATTATTTGATTGACATAATTCATGAATATTATGAAAATCATCAATATTAAAACAATGAAATAAATTTAACTAAATATAATTATAAAATATATATAAATTTATATTAATAAATTATATTAAAATATTATAAAATATATATAAAATAATTATATACTTACATAAGAATTAAAATATTCATTAATTTTATTTAAATAATTATTTTTAATTTTTTCTTTATATCTATATAAAGTTTTAGAACTTGAAGTTATTCCAATTTTTATAAGAAAATCAATACCAGTTATATTTAATTCACAAGATAATAAATATAATCCTAAATCAGTTTTAAATTTATTTATATTTTGACTATGTAATCCAGCTAAAAAATAACATAAACTAATAATTTGCTGTTGTGCTTTTTCTTTATTTTTTTCAGTTCTTCTTTTAGGAATAAGTGCTGTTGTTATTTTATCTAAAAATCCAATTAATTGAGATTCTTTTGTTTTAATAAGCTGTTTAAAATTATTAGGATTTAATAAATAATTGTTATTTTGTTCTTCATATTGATATAAAACTTTAGTTAATAATTGTAATTGAGTAGAAAATAAATTATTTGCTATAAAATAAATTTAAATTATAATTTTAAAAATTATTAAAAAATAAATTAATATATTATAAAATGTTGTATTATAATACTATATAATAATAAACTTACATGTTTGTATTAAATCATTATTATTTTCAAGATTTTGATTAATTAGTTTATCAATTAATTTGTTAAAATTTTGTTTATTTATAAATATATCATCATTAAGAATTTTTATCTTTATATTTGAAAAATTATTAGATTTTAAATCTATATATTGATGTTTTTCATAATTTTTTAAATAATCAATTGGTATATTAGAATTATCTAGAAATAATTTGTTTGTTTCAATAAAATCACCTAAATCTACAAAGGTTAATAGTTTTTCATTTTTAGATATTTGTTCTGCAACAAAATTAACAATTTGCATATAATGTTCAAAACAAATTTGATCTTGATCAACTTTTAAATAATTAAATTCAAAAGAAAATATTGATCAATTTTGATTTTAAAATTTTGTGTTACATTTCTAAATGAATTAATTCTTGAATTACAATTATAAACAGCGCAAGGTCCTGTAAGTTTTTGACAAGGCATTATTGTTTATATATTTAATTTAAACTAAAATTTTTTTATAGAATATAACTAATTTTAACTAGTAATTAAATTACTAATTTAAATTTAAAAATTAAATTTTTAAAATTAAATTAAGAATGTATATATAATATATACAATTGTAAGTTAAAAAACCCAAAGTATATGAGTTTATATAATAAAATTTTAAAAATTTTAAAATTATTAGATTTTTTTTAATATTTTAATTTTTAACTTTTGTTTTTGTTATATAAGATTCTGTAATTTAAATAGTTAATTATATATGCAAGTTATATAACCAGGGGTCAATTAGTATTACTCTTTTTTATAATTATAAAGTTTAATTTTTATATGGACAGCAAGTCCTTATATAATTTTTAAAATGCAAATCATATTTAAATTATATTTTAATATATCTCTATAATAAGATAAATTTAGTCGTCGTATATTTAACTACAAAGCCATGACTTCTGAAAATTGGACTGAATTTTCAGATCTTCTTACAGCACAA